GCTCTCTTGATTAGTTATCATTTAACTCTTGGGGGAAATAATTAGCATTACACATCATGTGCATGGAAGTTGCTGAACCAATTAACCAACTAGAAGGGTTACTGTTAATAGCACCAGTTTTCCTATAACTTGTTATTACTGGATAGTTCTGATGAACTGCAAAAGCATTTTAAGTTTGCTTTCTGTTGCTACCCTGGAACTTTTCTTTATTAGTGCTACTTTGTTTTGTACGATTCCTTGCAAATGAAGGAAAACAACTTTTTTGCTTATATATGTTGATAATATAATTTTGGTTACTAAGGACAAACAAGATTGTACAAAAAACAAGATTGGGTGCCAGCCTGGCCAGGACATAGGCATCCTGACTGTGACAAAGGTGACCTGTGTGCTTGTTTGCTTGCTTGCTTAACAGCTGTTGGGAACTTCAAGGTCCCTGCTCTTCCTTCTTATGCTCTTTGTATTGGACCTGGAGACTCCAATAGAGAGCATTCCATGTCAAGAAGGAGGGCAAGTGGGCACTCTATCAAATGACAGGGCAGGAGCTACACGGAGCAGGGCCATTTCACTGGTGGTGCCCATTGTATGCCTCGCTCTTCCCAGACCTACTCTCTTTTGGCCTGTATTTTGGAGCTTTATAATTTAGGAAGACTATGGAAGAACTGGTTGACAAGTCTTATCAGTCGCTGATGTATGAGCAGATTTTATTTGCTGCTATTCTGGGCTCACCTAATAGCAACAGTTCTGCTACTCCTCCTTGCCAAAGTTGCGCTTTGTGCGTGGAGGGAAAGCGGCGGGTTTAACCCTATGCGCGGAAGCACATAAATATATATCAGTCATCCCCACCTCCTCGCAGTCTCCGCTTTTCTTTTTCCCCCAACCGCGATGGATGACGAGAAGGGCAGGTGCCAGGAGCGCAAAAAGTGTAGCACAACAAGCAAGCCGGGTGGGAGATGTGATTGGGGGCAGGGGGGGAAGTGTTTCCAAGCCTCAGCCCCCACCCCAAAAGCAATCGCAGAGAGCAATGGCCGTGAATGAACCGCCGCTGCTGCCCCCCAAAAAACACAGACACCGAGCAAGCCCTACAGTGTGCCTAGAAGAAAGGAGGAGGAAGAGCCGAGTGGAAGAAGAGGAGACAACAGCTTGCTACCTACCTCCCGCCCTTTGCACCCTGCTGCCCGCTCCGGCCCCGCTTGCGCTGCTTGTCTTTTTTTCTTCTTCAAATCTATGCAATATTGCACTTGACCTTCCCAGCTCGCCAGAGCCGCCGGCGCGAGACAGGAAGCCGAGGGGAGAGCAGCAGAGCTGGTGTGAGGCCCCAGCCAAGTGGGCGGGGCTCGAGTCGCCCGCAGCCCAGAAACTGGACGGGGATGGGAGCAGAGAAGACAGAGACCCTGTCTGGGCAGAGGTGAGGTCACGTGGCAGGGAGCTGCGCTCACCTCTTGTGAAAGAGAGGGGGCGGCAGAGGGTCTCTCTCCGACACGTCAGACTGCCGCCAAGCTCCCGGATTGCGCATGGGCGTGCGCCCCAACACAGTTGGAGCCTCCCTCCTCCTTGGCCGGCAGGGAGGGAGGGAGAGGAGCTGCTTCTTTTGAAAACCGGGAAATTTAAGGGACTTTATCAATCCGGGACAGCAGCGGGACATGGCGCTGGGATAAGGGACTGTCCCGCCAAATAAGGGACGGTTGACAGCTATGCCTAGAAGAAGGCTGGAGAAGGAAGGGTGTGTGTGTGTGTGTGTGTGTGTGTGTGTTTCTGTGTAAACCTCTGGCCTTTTGTACAGCTGGAAATGTCACCTACTATACATTTTCTCACCTGGCCCCACTTAGCACCGGCATGCTGTCCCCATAACGTTGCCCCAGTGCAGCCCTTGCATTGAAAAGGTTTCCCCACCATTGGGGTAAATGAAAGTCAACGAGCCCGGTATGTATTTGTTTCCCTTTTTCTCAAGCGGAGACACACTTGGGAAGTTACTACATGTTTCTTTGAAGGCTGAGATGCCTCCTTCCTTCCACAGTTAGTGTGCTTTACAGGGCAGCATGACAGCATGCTGCTGACAGAGAAAGAGAAAAATCTGATATGATTTTTATTGAAAATTAATTGTACAATTTCTCGTTCTTTCTCTAGTAACACTGGCTTACCCTTTCTGAACCAGGCGTGGGGAAAATGAGCCAACACTACCATCTGCTGGTAGTAAATCATATATATTCCTCCTGGATTCACCATGATCTGCTATCTCACTGTTGCAATTGCTTGGTTTATTTTTTTCCATGCAGAGAGAGCTTTGAATTATATCCTTGCATTGAAAAGTTCACAAGGTGGTATTCCCTTATTTAAAAAAGAAAAAGTTCAGAAGAAGAGGTGCATCTGAGAAAGTGGACTCCGGTCCATGAAAGCTTATGCCATAAAAATTTTGTTCGTATCCAGGGTCCTACAAAAATTAATTGCTGCTCGTTTTGTTGCTTTTAATGAACTGCTCATTTGTATGATATATATTTGATGATGACTGTTCCTTGATTTATGTTTTCTGATGCTCCGAGTACGTTAGAAGGAGAACAGGATATAGAAATAAATAAACTGAGGTTTTCTGAGGTTTTGCTGCAATAGACGAACATCGCTGGAAATTTTGCCACTGATATCGAGCCCTACAAATCATAGAATCACAGAATTCCCAGTTTCACCCAGACTTGGGAATTGGATTGTAGCTTGTCTGCCTATTTGTCCAATGGCAGGCAGGCTGCAGCCCCAGTCCCAACACTGGGATCCGACCGAAGCAGCAGGCTTCACTCTGGTTTGCCCTGTGGATTTTAAGCAATAACTTTACCATTTCAATCTTCAAGGTGTCATATTTACAACAACATACTTCTTTACAATTTTGTAGGATGTAGGTAGAAATACAGATACATAAAAGAATGTAAATTTGTCACAGCATCCTTCTGTTTGTTTGCTTAAAGAAGGTAAGCAAACAAGGCCAAATAAGTTTGGAAATCTCTGATGTAAATGTTTCACATTTTATCAAAACTCAAAGCATAGGCATGGTGTCCAAATGTAACCACTTCTTCCTTAAAGGAAAACTTTCTCTAGTCCTTCCATAGAAAACAAGACATTCCAAACTGACAAACTGATGTAGCTATAGATATAGATGCAGAAAGATAGATATCCAACTTCTGCTAATGTGGGCACATGCAAATGTTTGTAATACAGTACAGTGGAACCTCGGTTCCCAAACACCCACGTTGTCAAAAGTTTCAGTTCTCGAACGCCAAAAACCCGGAAGTAAATGCTTCCATTTCTGAACATTCCTCGGAACTCGAACATCTAACACAACTTCTGCAGAGTGCAAGAAGCTCTTGCAACCAAACAGAAGCCACACCTCGGTTGTTAAATGTTTCAGAAGTCGAACGGTCTTCCAGACTCGATTACGTTTGACAACTGAGGTATCACTGTACATTAAATTCTTCTCTGTATGTATGTATGTATGACGAAGAATTCTGTGCAACTCAAAACTTGGCATGTTCTGAATTTATCCCACACAATTTATCCCTTTTCTTATTCAAGATCTTCGATGCCCTGGGGACTAAACAGTCTGTTTCTAGCCTCCTATGGTCACCTGATACACTGGTTGCCTTTGACTCCCATGGTTCTGCTCACATTGCTGCCCGTCAGTGGAAGGAAACAGCCAGAGAACAATCTTAGAGAGTGCTAGGCAACATAATAACAGGTGCTACAGCAGATCTCAACCTATAATTTGAAAAGCTCCAAAAGCAACTGCTGCAGTTCTTTAATGCAAGCCATAACTAGCAGAGTTCTTAAGATACTGTGTTCCCCCAATTTACACCTTGCCCATGAGAAGATTTGTTACTTGATGCTAACAAGTTCGGGTGAGTTATTTTCCTTTGTTTGCTTTTAACAAGATGATCCCAGTTTAGTTGACTTCAATGGAATTACAGGAAGGTCTGCCCATCAAATGATTAATCCATTTCTTGAACAGATTTAGCCCCCCAAAAGCCTGCAAGGATCAAGAGATTGAAAACACCCTTCTTTTGATCACAGGGTTTGATGGTTCAATGGGGAAGAGATTTTCGCTATGTTTGCAATAGACTAGCTTTCTTTCTCATGTTAGCTGCTACTCATTCTTTCCTGCAGGAGAGTGTTTTCTTCACACCCCTCCGAAATGAGGACAACTAGAGTGTGTACCCTAGCATATGCTGCAGAGTCTTCTATGACTCCTGTCTGCCAAACAGGGAGGCATTATTCAAAAGTAGAAAAATCAAAGAAGAAGAAACCACCTAGAGTAGGGAACTAAAGTGCACTTCTTTTATTTCCATGTGATATTATGTTGTTTTGCAAAGGATAATTGAGCACCTTCACTACCCCTTTGTGTGGTCTGGCTGTACTGAAGCTCTAACACAGCTGGAGCTTTCTGACACAGAAAATTTATTTGCCCTAGCAAGCAGTTCCCATAACGTACCATGGTTGGACTCACAGCATTTCTGACAAGAGACAAGACCAAAATGGATGCTGAGCAGAAAAACTTGTGAAGTGCAGGAGGAAACAGCAACATGGGCACCTGATGGCCTAATTGCTGTCTATTGCTGGGAAAACAACTTTACTCAGTGACACAACCCTGGTACGCATCCCTATTACAAAACCCTATTATAAAATATCATCATAAAACATGTTCTCCGTTTGGCATGAGTCGAATGCCATGGTCCAGCTGATTCCACTTCATGCCATATTCTTAGGTTTGTTGGACGAGAACAGCTTTAGCTTCTGGTTATAATTGTTTTAATTATAGTGCGTTTCCCCTACTGCCTTGAAAACTGCAACTGATGTGTATGTATATATGATGGATGATTCAGTCTGCTTAGCACAGAGGCATCAGATGGCCCTTGTTTATACAAGTGCTTTTTTACTTTTTTATTTTGTTTTTTGCTTAGCTCACATCTCTGTTGCAACAAAGCCAGCTGCATTCAAACAGAGAAAGAGAGAGAGAGGGAGAGGGAGAGGGAGAGAGAATGCAGTTCAGCAAACTGGCAGTGCAGGAGAAGAGGGGAATTGTGGAGCTTGTACGAAACCTGAGTTGGCTTTAAGAATCTCCAAGCAAAAATGCTGGATGGCTGATGTAAGTTTATGGGAGATTTGATATTCTGCCACTTGCTAGATAATGAACTGGCTGGGCCATCTGCCTTTGGAGAGGCGTAAGATGGCAGTGAACCCTTCATTTGCTTTTTTTTTGCTAGAAATATATATTGAATGCTGAAATCAGGACATTTTGCTTATGTTTTAATGAGCCAAGATGATACTTCAAGCTCTATTTCCCTCCCACTGGTTTGGAAAATTGTTGCTTTAAAAAAATAGTAATCCAGAGTCTGTGGAGCTTTTTGTCTTGTCATCAGGCAGGCTTCTATTTTTCTTCCATTCTTTTCCTTGTTGCCTCATTTGAGGACCCTTAGCCAACAATTGCAGGATAAAATACTCAGAGCTGAAGTTGATTGCATGGAAATAAATGCCAGCCAGTAAGTGGGCATTGCTCTCCAGAGGGAGAGTGCATTGAAACTAAGAGCAAATAAAAAGGGGATATAATCTGAGATTTTATGGGGGAGAGGGTATTTGCTCCAGAAATGTTGTGTGCATAGCAGAATTTAAATGCATGGACAAGCATTGCCCCTGTAAAATTCAGATTATAAGAAATATACAGTGGCTGGTTACTCACTTAAGAGAGTGTTTCAGCTGTAGAACAAACTACTTCAGGACATGGTGAGCGCTCCTTTGCTAGAAGCATTTAAGCAGAAGCTGGGGGACCACCTGTCAGGGATTCATCTTTAGCCATTGATCCTTGCAGTGGGGAGGAGTTGGTCAGGAAGACCTCTAAAATTTCTTCCAATTCTAGGATCAAATGCTAGGATTCTGTGCACCTCACAAATATGCTTGAATCTAGCTCTTGAACAAAAACATAACAGTCCAGTCATGATTATTTCTAATTATATTTTATTAAGTTTCAACATTTTTAACATATGCAGTCAAAACACAATTTCATCTTTTCTCTTGTTTTTGTCGACTTCCCACCCCTTTTCCCCATGGAGTTGTTGTTTCTCTCCTTCTGCTGCATCCTATCTTCAAATCATAACCACAGTATTATAATCTAATTACTTCTGTTGCTCATAGCTCAAATCCTCCTTGCACGTTCCCCATATTGTAATATTCCCTGCAGTAAATAGTCCAAAAAAGGCACCCATTCTTCCATAAAACACACATTAGATTCTCTAAATTTTGCTGTTCGTTTTGCCAGTTCTGCATAGTCCATTATCTTACTTATCCATGAGGATTGAATAGGAAACATGATGTCATGTAAAATAGTATACAGTACTGATCCAGATTATCTAATAAAGGGGCAGACTGACTGCAGGGCAATCTTTACAATGGGCATGAATGACATATATGACCAGCTCAGGGCAGATGCTGTGGCTAGGGCACACTGCAGGCCCAGCACGGCTCGCGGGGCTAGTGCCTGCCAGTTGTGTCCTTCTCAGCCACCCTCTGGCAGCTGGCGCTCTGAGAGCCCAGCCCCAGGCCACACTGCTTTGGAGAGCAGCATGCCAGGCTCTGGGGTGTCTGGACTTATACATCACCTTGGGCTTAGGCGTGCCACCCCTAGAGGTAAGTGCCACCCGGGGCGCCCTGCCCTCTTGCCCCCTAGCTATGCTACTGTGTCACAGACTCTTCTTGTCCACTAACCCATTATCTATTCAGCTCCTGACATCTCCTCCTCCTCCCAGTCTTCTCCCTCCCCCCCCCAACCACTCATCGTTGTCCCACTACAAATCCTCTGGCTCTTAGCCTTCTTCCCTTGTGGATTCCGCAACTGGTGCCTCTCACCACTCGTGCATCCAGCCACTCAATGGCATTAAAGGGACCCCTGACCATTAGGTCCAGTCGTGACCGTCTCTGGGGTTGCGGTGCTCATCTCGCTTTATTGGCCGAGGGAGCCGGCGTACAGCTTCCGGGTCACGTGGCCAGCATGACTAAGCCGCTTCTGGCAAACCAGAGCAGCGCACGGAAACGCCGTTTACCTTCCCGCCAGAGCGGTACCTATTTATCTACTTGCACTTTGACGTGCTTTCGAACTGCTAGGTTGGCAGGAGCAGGGACCGAGCAACAGGAGCTCGCCCCATCACGGCGATTCGAACCACCAACCTTCTGATTGGCAAGTCCTAGGCTCTGTGGTTTAACCCACAGCACCACCTGCGTCCCTCCTGTCAATGGCGTTAGGGATAAATAAATAATTCTTTGTAACGTTTTCTGTTGCTTTGAACTTCTATGCAAATAAGGAACTATCTCATGCTGCATCAGCTATGTTCCTTTCCCTTTCCCCGTGTGCCCCCAAAATCTGCTCTGGAGGGTCCCCCCAACCCTGCAGAAGTGATCTGAGAGCATGCGGGGGGGGCTGGAGAGGGACCTCCTTTGAGCACACAGAAGTCTGTTGCGCCAGCAAAGCTGCAGCATTGGATATGGCCCAAGGAACAACTTCATCGCCGTAGCGTCTACAAGCGTAGCTTGGTCACCAAAAGAGCTCGGATGCAAATAACAATGATCAGGCAGACCTTGCACAACCAAAGAAACCATTTTTTAAAAACTCCTTTTCAAATGGATATAGCCAGAAGGGAGGGTAAATAAGGAGGGTATTTCTGAGTTGTGTCAGAGGAAGAGAATGTTTTAGAAGGGGAGGGGAGGAAACAAGCAACCAATAAAGCGGAAGAAAACTGCCCTTCTTTTGGGAGATATGATTTCTCTATTCTCCATGGGAGTGTGGGAAAAAGTGGTTTCACAATATATAATTATGTGTGAACCAGACAGTAGATAGGCAGTCAAAAACCTGGGAATCTTACACAACTCATGGATTAAATAAGAGCATTACCATCGGTGTACACAACCTAAGAATATACCGGTAAGTGGTATACTAACACTCTGTAGTTGCTGAAGTGTAGTATTTTTATCAACATGCTACAGTAACACTAATGGGATGATAACAAAATGCAAAAATAATGATAGTACATTAATTGCGATTGATGTGACTTAAGGGAATGAAATGTTGTCAGCATGGTGGGAAACAGGAGACAGGGCAGGTGCACACTTACCGGTAATTCCAGAAGCTGTAAGTTTTCATATGTGTAGTGCATGTCTGAAGCTGCCGTAATGGCATAATGCTGTGTGTGCTTACTCAGTGTGTTCAGTTGGCCTTCCTTCGAAGTCAGTGTGCACAGGACTGCAGCATGGCAGGGCAGTCCCACATTCCTTTGCTGTGAACATCTTGTATATAAATATTTTTTACAAATAAAGATGAAGTGAAACAAGTTGCAAACAAGTGGCTTTGGAAACAGGAACTTCTGCTCAAGGCATTTGGGCTCTTCAATGCATTTTGCCACCTCATAAAGGTAAAGGGACCCCTGACCATTCACCTCATACTTGCCAGATAAAATCTCCATTCTAAGGCACTTCTTTGTTTTGGTGCCCCACCCAGGCTTCCTGGCCATCTCTTCTACTGCTGAGTAATTTGTACTCTGATAAGATTGCTCCTATCCCTTGCTAGTATTCTCCTGGGTTTGGGAGATTCCACTTAGATAAGGATGCCGCTGCTCTGCTTCCAGAAATTCAAGTCCTATCCATTTGCATATCTCCTTTCTCACATAGATTCATTTTACTTTCCAACCTGTGCATACTGGAGCCTTTGGTTTAAGGGCATGAGAAAGAAACAGAGATCTTGAATGGGTGTGGGTGAGTGTGCAGGTTGGAGCCCATCTCTTCAGGTTGGTTAGAACCATACTAACCACCAAGAGGGCGCCTGAGGGGAAGAGAGCAGACAGAGATTCCAGTTCTGTCCCATTAGCTGGTTCTTCCAGCTCCTCTAGCTTGATCTCCTGTTTTTCTCTCCACCCTGCTCTTCTGCACTCCCCCCCTCCCTCTTGCTTTCTGTTCCAGATGCAGCATTCCTACCACCACTACTCTGTTGACAAATAACTTACTCTCCCCTCACCAAATACCTGAAAGGGGCTAGGCCTGCTCAAGGGTCCTTTTCTGCTGGTCACTCTGCTCCATGACTGGCTCTCCGGATGGTAAGTGCTTACTTCTGACCATCTTTTCCAATTCCACAGACTCACTTTCATACAAACAAACAAACAAACAACAAGTGTTGACAGGCTGGTCCTAGACCAGGAGTCAGCAAAGTTTTTCAGCAGGGGGCCAGTCCACTGTCCCTCAGACCTTGTAGGGGGCTGGACTATTTTTTTTTGGGGGGGGATGAACGAATTCCTATGCCCCACAACTAACACAGAGGTGCATTTTAAATAAAAGGACACATTCTACTCATGTAAAAACACGCTGATTCCTGGACTGTCCGTGGGCCGGATTTAGAAGGTGATTGGGCTGGATCTGGCCCCTGGGCCTTAGTTTGCCTACCCATGTCCTAGATCAAATGTCACCTCAGGCAAGGAAAGGCTTCGACACCTTTCTTCAAAGTTTTAACTTTTGAAGAGCCTCTTTTAAAAAAATGTATGGGATGCATGATTCTCAGACATGATTTATGATAAAAATAATCAGGCTAGGATCAGATTAACTGTTTGTATTATTTGTTTCAACTGTTGACAAGATATTTAAGTAGATAGCCTACACAGCATGTGTGCGCCCCCCTCCCAGCCCGGCACCCCAGGGAAATTTAGGGTCAATTGGTCCTAAAACCAGCCCTGCATGCACGGCACTGATTCACTCAAATACAACAGCATGGACCCATGAGAATCTCCCCCCACCCCTGCCTTCATGTGCCCTTGTCCTGTGCTGCAGCTTTGGATTCTTGGTGTAAGAAGTGACTCACTCAGCTATGTATGGCTCTTTTGGTGACTCAGTGGGGAATCAGCGACAAATCTCAGTGGAACGTTTGTAAAAAGCAGGTTGAAATATACGCTCTGTGCTCAGGTTTGCAGCTAAACAAGCATGTTTGCAAACTGCTGGATCAGCTACTCTGTTTGTTGATGGTGGGGGTCAGTACAAAGAATTGAGGGCAAATAGAGAGGACTGTATCAGGGCTTGATTTCCCAGAACAAACTGTATATCTTCTTACGTATATCTGTATATCTCCCCTTTGGGAGAGGGGCAGACTCACCATAATCTCTACAGTCGGTAAAGAGATAGAATTTGAGCAAACTCATAAATTCACAAAGTAAGGAAAGTCTGGTTTGTTAAAACTAAGCCAAGTGCTGTTGCATTCAGTTTAGGAGCAGGTAGCTAGCCAGGGATAAGCCAAGCCGATGACAAAAGGCGTTGATAGCCCATTTAAGTAACCACCCAGGTGGCATTTGTGGTTTCTTTAGCCGGAGTTGAGGCTGTCTCGCCTTGCCTGGGAGAAGCCCCACTCAGTGGCGTAGCGTGGGTTGTCAGCACCCGGGGCAAGGCAAGTAATTTGCGCCCCCTAACCCGTGGATTTGCGCCCCCTAACCCGTGGATTTGCGCCCCCTAACCCATGGATTTGCCCTAACCCCAGATGTTGCGCCCGGTGCGGCTGGCCCCCCCTGCACCCCCATGCTACGCCACTGGCCCCACTGAATTCAGTGGGACTTACTTCTGAGAACACAGGTTAGGATTGCACTGTAAGTCTATGAATGTGTATACACCATACATTTCAAGCACATGACTCCCTCCCCCCCAAAAAAAACAATAATGGGAACTGTAGTTTGTTGAGGGTGATGGGAATTATAGCTATGTGAGGGGTAAACTACAATTCCCATTATTGTTTTCTCTCTGTGTGTGATTTACATCCTTTAACTATGCTTTAAATGTATGGTATCAGTAATATTTAATTTTCTACTGCACCTTTAGATCAAACATTAATTTGGGGACCCATTTTCTCCTTTTTTCCTATTTTTAAAACCACCAACTTTAATGCTGTGTATCTTCTTTGTTTTACCCAGCATTTTCAGCAATGGCCATGAATTCACAATGCGTCCCATTCTGACTCTTTTCATCTTTGCGGTTTTCCTCTCCATCCTATTCTACACCTCAAGACTATCGGATGAAAACATCCCAAGGGGATTCAACCAGTCGGCCACCTCGTTCTTAGCAGAAACTTGCAAAGCTATTACTGAAGGAAAAAAGCACTTCTCACCCCCGAAAGATGCTGAAGACATCCTTTGGGGAACCCAACTGCAGTGACTACGTGACCCAAAGCCACTACATTACCAGACCCCTCTCTGCAGAAGAAGCTGCCTTTCCTTTAGCCTACGTGATAACCCTGCACAAAGAGTTTGATACTTTTGAGAGGCTCTTTAGGGCCATATATATGCCCCAAAATGTCTACTGTGTCCACGTGGACAAGAAGGCCACCCGTGCGTTTAAGAGAAAGGTGGAGCAATTGCTAGGCTGTTTCCCCAATGCTTTCCTTGCTTCAAAATTGGAGCTGGTGGTTTACGCTGGGGTATCGAGGCTCCAGGCTGATCTGAACTGCATGAAGGATCTTGTAAAATCCAAAGTGCCCTGGAAATACCTTCTCAACGCTTGTGGGCAAGATTTCCCCTTGAGAACCAACAAGGAGATAGTTCGGTACCTGAAAGGGTTCAAAGGGCAGAACATCACTCCGGGGGTGTTGCCTCCACATCATATTCTCAAGAGGACAAAATACATCTACCGAGAACAGGTTTACAGCATCTTTTCCTTCATGCTGGGGACTTTTCTGCGGAAATCGCCACCTCCGCACAACCTGACCATCTATTTCGGCACTGCTTACATTGCACTTTCAAGGGAATTTGCAGACTTCATCCTCAACGACCGGAGGTCTCTTGATCTCCTTGAATGGTCTAAAGATACCTACAGTCCAGATGAACATTTCTGGGTGACACTCAACAGGCTGCCAGGTATGCTCCTTTTCCTTCAAAAAGTTGTTCTGTTGTTGATAATAACGGTGGTAATAATAATAGTGTTACAAACATCAGGTGCCCACCCCTCTGCCAAGCGATGGCAAGAGTTCATGGGGTTCCAGGCACTCACCCAGGGTCTGTGGTCCTTTGGAGAACTGAGACATGATGGAGACTGTCATAGCTTTAAGATTTACATGGAGGGAGTCCCAGTCTTACTGCATGGTCATTTCAAGAGGGATTTGTTCCCTACAGCCGTGCAGCCAGCCTTCAGCCAGCCTGCCCAAAATGGATGCCAGTCCATCTTTCTCCAGCAACCCTTGCTCAAAACTCTCTTTTCCTATCATGCTCAGTTACCCTGGCAACCTTCCAAACCCCTGTCTCTGTTCACACCTCAGGGCATGGGGCAGGGGAGGACAGTTTCTCTTGCATTGCCAATGGCCGTCAGTGGCTCTGTATTGTTTCTTAATGGCCCTAGCTTGGCCAGGTCGTTTGCATAGGCTAGCCCAGGAATTCCTCTGCAGTTTGCATTTCTCCCTTCACATCTGAAATCATCAAAATCCTACAATTCATAAATTCCTACGGTCCCACACCCAATCTATAACAATATTAACCAACTTTTCAAGTCAAACTTCCAGTGATGGAAAGGAGGGATGGGGAACTGTAGTTGATTCCTCACAGAGCTACAATTCCCAGAACCCTTTCCAAACTACAGTTCCCAAGATTCTTGGGAGCAGTCATGATCTTTAAATGTATGGTGTGTACTGTACACAGCCAAAGGTCCACAGAAGTTAACACTCCAGTAGTCAATGTTTGATGTGATGGTCCTGGGACAGGGTGGGAACTGTCATTATTTTTAGTTGGTCTGATATTGTATCCAGTCACTCCAGCCTCCAATGTGGAAGAGCCTAAGTGGCTTACAGAGCACATAGTTCTACATAAATACCTAATGCCCCCCCCCATTCTTTTTTGTAAGATCTGTGCATTTTATTTCTCAAGCAAAGTTTCAAAAAGGGATGTGTCCTTGACACACATACTGTGAAACTATTCTATAATCAAACCTTCCTGGAAAACTATGTAGATTTCAACTTTAGTTTGTTCTACTTCATTTAACCATGCGATATGAAGTCATTTCTCCACCGCATGGTCCTCCGGAACCAAATGCAAATCAAATACAAGCATCTGGAAAGATGACTGGAGTACTTCTGCTATCTGACAGAGGGCAGTCTAGAATAACACTTGAAAACTGGTTTGCCTTCAGAGGGAAGAACTTGAGATGAAGTTGATTAGGCAGAGCTGGCAGAAAAGGAGCAACCCTTCCACGCATCTGCGCAAAGTATCCTTCTGTCTCCCCATAGTGGAAACACATTACGTAACATCTAACATCGTGTTGTGTGTTCCCACCCCTGCACCACATTATGGCTGCTGTAGAGTTCTGTGATTCTATGAAAGGAGGACCTGAACGTGGAGCTAAACATCTGGCAGCAGTGGAGATACTATAGAACCCACTGTGCTTGCAGAAGCTCCTAGCTAGAGCCCTTAGCATCACCAATTAAAGGTACCATGTATCAGATGATAGTAAAGGTGTCTGTCTGAGACCTTGGTGAGCCGATGTTAGTCAAGACTTAGTGCAAGTTAGTCATGGAGGATAGGGTATTCAGTGGGCCACTTGCCATGGTGGCATTGCTCTACCTCCAGGAATGGAGGCAGTATGCTCTTTGAGCATCAGTTGCAAGGATCACAAGTGGAGGAAGCGGGACGCCGGTGGTGCTGTGGGTTTAAACCACAGAGCCACGGCTTTGCCAATCAGAAGGTTCGGCGGTTCGAATTCCCCGTGATGTAGTGAGCTCCTGTTGCTCAGTCCCTGCTTCCTGCCAACCTAGCAGTTCAGAAAGCACATCAAAGTGCAAGTAGAAAAATAGGTACAGCTCCGGCGGGAAAGGCAAGCGGCGTTTCCGTGTGCTGCTCTGGTTCGTAGAAGCGGCTTAGTCATGCTGGCCACATGACCCCGGAAGCGGTACGCCGGCTCCCTCAGCCAATAAAGCGAGATGAGCGCCACAACCCCAGAGTCGTCCGTGACTGGACCTAATGGTCAGGGGTCCCTTTACCCTTTACCTTTTTACACACTGAAGGCAGGGAAGGTTGCGAGGAATCACTGAAGTCCTTGGGAAATGTGTGTGTTGATGTTTGCCTGAAATTTCAGGAAATCTGGCTGCGTCTGCACCTTCTATTAATAGAGAGAGAACTAGAAATTCACGGCGTGTGCAACCCTCAGAGAAAACTTAGAGAAGATGGTGTACCGCTGGGTACCTGACTCCAGCAAAGTTAGGAAAGATGTATAAGACCGTTATAATTGCTGCTGGAGATGTAAAGATAAGATTGGACTTTTCCACATGTGGTGGACTTGTGAGGCAGTAAAGGAATCTGGGGGAATGGATTTATGGTGAACTGAAAAAAATCTTAAATATAACTTCCCCAAAAAACCGGAATTGTTCTTCTGGGTATGAATTGATGAGGAAATTAAAAAACCAGATCGAACCTTCTTCCAATATGCGTCAGCTGCAGCAAGGATCCTAATGCACAAAAATGGAAATCTCCTGACATTCCCACGATTGGAGGAATGGCAAGTGAAATTATATCAATTATAGAATTAGCGAGATTAACTCAGAAAATAAGGCAAAAATAACACCATGAAACATAAAGATGAATGGAAAATTTTTTTAATTCTTATGTTAAGAATAACACTGGCATTAATAATATAACAGCAGAAGATAGTTAACACCCTCGATGTATAATACATTGTAAACTCTATTGCAAAGATTATAAGACGGTTATGTAATTCCATACTAAGCTGAACGGAAGTCTGCTCTTTCTTGCTCTTTTCCCTTTCTTTCTTCTCCTTTTCTCTTCTTCTTTTTTTTTTCTTTTTGTTTCTTTTGTCTTTTTTAACTGTATGTTAAAAAAAAGAAGAAAAAAAAAAAAAAAAAAAGAGAGAGAACTAGAAATGCCAAAGGAGGAACAAGGAAGAAGAACCAGGAGCCAACAACTTCACTCTCTTTGCTGGTAAGAGAGGAGGTGGTTTTCCATTCAGGGGACAAGAATGAGGATGAAACTTATCAAAAGAGACTGGAACCATAGTATTACAATGCATTACAGTCGTCATCATCACAGCCAGCTTTCCCTGCAGCCCCGTATCGTGCTTAACTCCTTCAGTCTAGGGCAAATGCCAATAGATGGGAAGAGATGGGTATCAGGATGGTAAGAGGGAAGGCTTGTGTTGTTGTTTATGGAGCATTCAGTCTGATTTGTTTGTGCAAAGTTTGCAGGGAGGTCACATGACACCAGCTGTTTATTGAGGATTCAGTCTGATGTGTTTGCAAGGAGGTTAAGGGATGCCACTTCAAGAAGTTGTTATCCCACACCAGGGTTCAGCAACCTTTTTCAGCCATGGGCTGGTCCACCGTCTCTCAGACCATGTGGTGGGCCGGAATATTTTTTTTGGGGGGGGGTGAACGAATTCCTATGCCCCACAAATAACCCAGAGATGCATTTTAAATAAAAGCACACATTCTACTCATGTAAAAACATGCTGATTCCCGGACTGTCCGCGGGCCAGATTTAGAAGGCGATTGGGCCGCATCCAGCCCCCGGCCTTAGTTTGCCTACCCGTCCCCACTTTCCACCAGGGCATTTTCCTGTCACTTTCTTAACCACAAACAGTCCATGGGGCAGGAGAGAGAAAAGAGGGTTTGCTCTTCAGGAGCGCCTAATCTACTTTAACTGGGCAACCTGAATTTACAGGTATGCATTTTCATCCCACCCACAAAACAGTGACAGTCTGGAAGTGACCCTAGAGAAGAAATTGTGGGCTCAGGCTGTTAAGAGGTGTGGAACAGAAGAAAAGGAGGCATGTGAATTAAGAGATTGTGTAAAGTTGTGAGGAAACAGGGATGGAGGTGTTAGAATGTGCAGCAACTCACTCTCTCCAGTGTAGCTATTAGAGATACAGCCTGGAGTTGTACTAAATTGAAAACCGAAGCAACAACTTTGAAACAACAATTGATTAGAAAAGAAAGAAAAGCAAACGGGAATTTGGGAAATGTTTATTGATTATGCATCCCACCCCGACACTCCCCCTCCCCCACTCCCCACCCCCCCAACCACCATCTGCCCACACAAAATCCCGCACCTCTCCCGCACCCCACACCTTCCTCCACCACCCCTCCACCACTCAAGAAAAGGACCCCACCATAGGCCATCGACGCTCGGCGTCCACTCGCTTATGCCGAGGAGCCGGCGTACACTTCCGTCACGTGCCAGCATGACTAAGCCGCTTCTGGCAAACCAGAGCAGCGCACGAAACGCCGTTTACCTTCCCGCCAGAGCGGTACCTATTTATCTACTTGCACTTTGACGTGCTTTCGAACTGCTAGGTTGGCAGGAGCAGGACCGAGCAACAGACCGGCCGCCCATCACGCGGATTCGAACCACCAACCTTCTGATTGGCAAGTCCATCCTGTGGTTTAACCCACAGCACCACCTCGCCCCCTGTCAATGGCGTTAGGGATAAATAAATAATTCCTTTGTAACGTTTTCTGTTGCTTTGAACTTCTATGCAAAAAGGAACTATCTCATGCTGCATCAGCTATGTTCCTTTCCCTTTCCCCGTGCCCCCAAAACTGCTCTGGAGGGTCCCCCCAACCCTGCAGAAGTGATCTGAAGGCATGCGGGGGGGGCTGGAGAGGACCTCCTTGAGCACACAGAAGTCTGTTGCGCCAGCAAAGCTGCAGCATTGGATATGGCCCAAGGAACAACTTCACCGCCGGCGTCTACAAGCGTAGCTTGGTCACCAAAAGAGCTCGGATGCAAATAACAATGATCAGGCAGACCTTGCACAACCAAAGAAAACCATTTTTAAAAACTCTTTCAAATGGATATAGCCAGAAGGGAGGTAAATAAGAGGGTATTCTCGAGTTGTGTCAAGGAAGAGAAGTTTAGAAGGGAGGGAGGAACAAGCAACCAATAAAGCGGAAGAAAACTGCCCTTCTTGGGGAGATTGATTTCTCTATTCTCCATGGGAGTGGGGAAAAATGTGTCACAATATATAATTATGTGTGAACCAGACAAGAATAGGCAGTCAAAAACCTGGGAATCTACACAACTCATGGATTAAATAAGAGCATTACCATCGGTGTACACAACCTAAAAATATACCGGTAAGTGGTAACTAACACTCTGTATTGCTGAAGTGTAGTATTTTATCAACTCTACAGTAACACTAATGGGATGATAAAAAAATGCAAAAATAATGATAGTACATTAATGCGATTGATGTGACTTAAGGGAATGAAATGTTGTCAAGCATGGTGAAACAGGAGACAGGGCAGGTGCACACTACCGGAACCAGAACTGTAAGTTTCATGTGTAGTCCATGTCTGAAGCTGCCCGTAATGGCAATATGCTGTGTGTGCTACTCAGTGTGTTCAGTTGGCCCTTCCTGCGAAGTCAGTGTGCACAGGACTGCAGCATGCAGGGCAGTCCCACATTCCTTTGCTGTGAACATCTTGTATATAAATATTTTACAAATAAAGATGAAGTGAAACAAGTTGCAAACAATGCTTGGAAACAGAACTTCTGCTCAAGGCATGGGCTCTTCAATCATTGGCCACCTATAAAGAAAGGGACCCCTGACCATCACCTCATACTTGCCAGATAAAATCTCCATTCTAAGGCACTTCTTGTTTTGGTGCCCCCCCAGGCTTTCCTTGGCCATCTCTTCTACTGCTGATAATTTGTACTCTATAAAATTGCTCCACCCTGCAGATCTCCTGGTTGGGAATTCCACTTAGAAAGGAGCCGCGCCTGCTTCCAGAATCCAAGTCCATCCATTTGCAATCCCTTCTCACAATAGACATTTAACTCCAACCTGTGCATAACTGGAGCCTGGTTAAGGCATGAGAAAGAAACAGAGATCTTGATGGGTGGTGAGTGTGCAGTTGGAGCCCATCCTTCAGTGGTAGAAACCATACTAACCGACCAAGAGGGCGCCTGAGGGGAAGAGAGCAGACAGAGATTCCAATTCTGTCCCATTAGCGGTTCTCCAGCTCCTCTAGCTTGATCTCCTGTTTTTCTCTCCACCTGCTCTCCACTCCCCCCCCTGCTTCTGTTCCAAATGCAGCATCTACCACCACTACTCTGTTGACAAAATAACTTACTCTCCCTTCACCAAATACCTGAAAGGGGCTAGGCCTGCTCAAGGCCTTTTCTGCTGGTCACTCTGCTCCATGACTGGCTCCCGGATGTAAGTGCTTACTTCTGACCATCTTTCCAATTCCACAGACTCACTTTCATACAAACAAACAAACAAACAACAAGTGTTGACAGGACTGGTCTAAGACCAGGATCAGCAAAGTTTTCAGCAGGGGGCCAGTCCACTGTCCCTCAGACCTTGTAGGGGGCTGGACTATTTTTTTTTGGGGGGGATGAACGAATTCCTATGCCCACAACTAAACACAGAGGTGCATTTAAATAAAAGGACACATTCTACTCATGTAAAAAACAACGCTGATTCCTGACTGTCCGGGGCCGGATTTAGAAGGTGATTGGGCTGATCTGGCCCCTGGGCCTTAGTTGGCCTACCCATGTCCTAGATCAAATCACCTCAGGCAAGGAAAGGCTTCGACACCTTTCTCAAAGTTTTAACTTTTGAAGAGCCTCTTAAAAAAATGTATGGATCATGATTCTCAACATGATTAGATAAAAATAATCAGGCTAGGATCAGATTAACTGTTGTATTATTGTTCAACTGTTGACAGAATAAGTAGATAGCCTACACAGCATGTGTGCGCCCCCTCCCAGCCCGGCACCCAGGAAATTTAGGGTCAATTGGTCCTAAAACAGCCCCTGCATGCACGCACTGATTCACTCAAATACAACAGCATGACCCAGTGAATCTCCCCCCACCCCTGCCTCATGTGCCCTTGTCCTGCTGCTGCAGCTTTGGATTCTTGGTGTAAGAAGTGACTCACCAGCTATGTAGGCTCTTTTGGTGACTCAGTGGGGAATCAGCGACAAATCTCAGTGGAAACGTTTGTAAAAAGCAGGTTGAAATATACCCTCTGTGCTCAGGTTTGCAGCTAAACAAGCAATGTTGCAAACTGCTGGATCAGCTACTCTGTTTGTTGATGGTGGGGTCAGTACAAAGAATTGAGGGCAAATGAGAGACTGTATCAGGGCTTGATTTCCCAGAAAAACTGTATATCTCTTACGTATATCTGTATATCTCCCTTTGGGAGAGGGGCAGACTCACCATAATCTCTACAGTCGGTAAAGAGATAGAATTTGAGCAAACTCAAAATTCACAAAGTAAGGAAAGTCTGGTTGTAAACTAAGCCAAGGGGCTGTTGCATTCAGTTTAGGACAGAGCTAGCCAGGATAAGCCAACCCGATGACAAAAGGCGTTGATAGCCCCATTTAAGTAACACCCAGGTGGCATTGTGTCTTTAGCCGGAGTTGAGGCTGTCTCGCCTTGCCTGAAGAAGCCCCACTCAGTGGCTAGCGTGGGTGTCAGCACCCGGGCAAGGCAAGTAATTCGCCCCCTAACCCGTGGATTTGCGCCCCCTAACCCGTGGATTTGCGCCCCCTAAACCCATGGATTTGCCCTAACCCCAGATGTTGCGCCCGGTGCGGCTGGCCCCCCCTGCACCCCCAGGCTACCCACTGCCCACTGAATCAGTGGACTTACTCTGAGAACACAGGTAGGATTGCCACTGTAAGTCTATGAATGTGTATACACCAACTCAAGCACATGACCCCCCCCCCCAAAAAAAAACAATAATGGGAACTGTAGTGATGGGTGATGGAAATAGCTATTGAGGGAAACTACAATTCCCATTATGCTCTCTGTTGGTGATTACATCCTTTAACTATCTTTAAATGTATGGTATCAGAAATTGTTTTAATTTTCACTGCACCTTTAGATCAAACATTAATTTGGGACCATTTCTCCTTTTTCCTATTTTAAAACCACCCAACTAATGCTGTGTATCTTTTGTTTTAACCCAGCATTTTCAGCAATGGCCATTGAATTCACAAAATGCGTCCCATTCTGACCTTTCATCTTTGCGGTTTTCCTCTCCATCCTCATTCTACACCTCAAACTACGGATGAAAACATCCCAAGGGATTCAACCAGTCGGCCACCTCGTTCTTAGCAGAAACTTGCAAAGGCTATTACTGAAGGAAAAAAGCACTTCTCAACCGCCGAAAGATGCTGAAGACATCCTTTGGGGAACCCAACTGCAGTGACTACGTGACCACAAGCCACTACATTACCAGACCCCTTCTGCAGAAGAAGCTGCCTTTCCTTTAGCCTACGTGAAAACCCTGCACAAAGAGTTGATACTTTTGAGAGGCTCTTTAGGGCCATATATAGCCCCAAAAATGTCTACGTGTCCACGTGGACAAGAAGGCCACCCGTGCGTTTAAGAGAAAGGTGGACAATTGCTAGGCGTTTCCCCAATGCTTCCTGCTTCAAAATTGAGCTGGTGGTTTACGCTGGGGTATCGAGGCTCCAGCTGATCTGAACTGCATTGAAGGATCTTGTAAAAATCCAAAGTGCCCGGAAATACCTCTCAACGCTTGTGGGCAAGATTTCCCCTTGAGAACCAACAAGGAGATAGTTCGGTACCTGAAAGGGTCAAAGGGCAGAACATCACTCCGGGGGTTGCCTCCACATCATATTCTCAAGAGGACAAAATACATCTACCGAGAACAGGTTTACAGCATCTTTCCTTCATGCTGGGGACTTTTCTGCGGAAATGCCACCCCGCACACCCTGACCATCTATTCGGCACGCTCTACATTGCACTTTCAAGGGAATTTGCAGACTTCTCCTCAAACGACCGGAGGTCCTTGATCTCCCTTGAATGGTCTAAAGATACCTACAGTCCGATGAAACATTTCTGGGTGACACTCCAACAGCTGGCCAGTATGCTCCTTTTTCCTTCAAAAAGTTGTTCTGTTGTTGATAATAACGGTGGTAATATAATAGTTACAACATCAGGTCGCCCACCCCCTCTGCCAAGCGATGGCAAGAGTTCATGGGTCCAGCACTCACCCAGGGTCTGTGGTCCTTTGGAGAACTGAGACATGATGGACTGTCAACTTTAAGATTTACAGGAGGGAGCCCAGTCTACTGCATGGTCATTCAAGAGGATTTGTCCCTACAGCCGTGCAGCCAGCCCTTCAGCCAGCCTGCCCAAAATGGATGCCAGTCCATCTTTCTCCAGCAACCCTTGCTCAAACTCTCTTTTCCTATCATGCTCAGTTACCCTGGCAACCTCCAAACCCCTGTCTCTGTTCACACCTCAGGGCATGGGCAGGGGAGGACAGTTCTCTGCATTGCAATGGCCGTCAGTGGCTCTGTATGTTTCTTAATGGCCCTAGCTTGGCCAGGCTCTTGCATAGGCCTAGCCCAGGAATTCCTCTGCAGTTTGCATTTCTCCCTTCACATCTGAAATCATCAAAATCCTACAATTCATAAATTCCTACGGTCCCACACCCAATCTATAACAATAAACCAACTTTTCAAGTCAAACTCCCAGTGATGGAAAGGAGGGATGGAACTGTAGTTGATTCCTCACAGAGCTACAATCCCAGAACCCTTTCCAAACTACAGTTCCCAAAGATTCTTGGAGCAGTCATATCTTTAAATGTATGGTGTGTACTGTACACAGCCAAAGGTCCACAGAAGTTAACACTCCGTAGTCAATTTTGATGTGATGGTCCTGGGACAGGTGGGAACTGTCATTATTTTTAGTTGGTCTGATATTGTATCCAGTCACTCAGCCTCCAATGTGGAAGAGCCTAAGTGGCTTACAGAGCACATAGTTCTACATAAATACCTAATGCCCCCCCCCATTCTTTTTTGTAAGATCTGTGCATTTTATTTCTCAAGCAAAGTTTCAAAAAGGGGATGTGTCCTTGACACACATACGTGAAACATTCTATAATCAAACCTTCCTGGAAAACTATGTAGATTTCACTTAGTTTGTTCTACTCATTTAACCATGCGATATGAAGTCATTTCCTCCACCGCATGGTCCTCTCCGGACCAAATGCAAATCAAAACAAGCCATCTGAAAGAATGACTGGAGTACTTCTGCTATCTGACAGAGGCAGTCTAGAATAACACTGAAAACTGGTTTGCCTTCAGAGGAAGAACTTGAGATGAAGTTGATTAGGCAGAGCTGGCAAAAAGGAGCAACCCTCCACGCATCTGCGCAAAGTATCCTTCTGTCTCCCCATAGTGGAAACACATTACGTAACATCTAACATCGTGTTGTGTGTTTCCCCCCTGCACCACATTATTGCGCTGTAAGTTCTGTGATTCTATGAAAGGAGGACCTGAACGGGAGCTAAACATCTGGCAGCAGTGGAGATACTATAGACCCACTGTGCTTGCAGAAGCTCCTAGCTAGAGCCCTTAGCATCACCAATTAAAGGTACCATGTATCAGATGAAGTAAAGGTGTCTGTCTGAGACCCCAGAGGGAGAGTGCATTGAAACTAAGAGCAAATAAAAAGGGGATATAATCTGAGATTTTATGGGGGAGAGGGTATTTGCTCCAGAAATGTTGTGTGCATAGCAGAATTTAAATGCATGGACAAGCATTGCCCCTGTAAAATTCAGATTATAAGAAATTATACAGTGGCTGGTTACTCACTTAAGAGAGTGTTTCAGCTGTAGAACAAACTACTTCAGGACATGGTGAGCGCTCCTTTGCTAGAAGCATTTAAGCAGAAGCTGGGGGACCACCTGTCAGGGATTCATCTTTAGCCATTGATCCTTGCAGTGGGGAGGAGTTGGTCAGGAAGACCTCTAAAATTTCTTCCAATTCTAGGATCAAATGCTAGGATTCTGTGCACCTCACAAATATGCTTGAATCTAGCTCTTGAACAAAAACATAACAGTCCAGTCATGATTATGATTATTTTCTAATTATATTTTATTAAGTTTCAACATTTTTAACATATGCAGTCAAAACACAATTTCATCTTTTCTCTTGTTTTTGTCGACTTCCCACCCCTTTTCCCCATGGAGTTGTTGTTTCTCTCCTTCTGCTGCATCCTATCTTCAAATCATAACCACAGTATTATAATCTAATTACTTCTGTTGCTCATAGCTCAAATCCTCCTTGCACGTTCCCCATATTGTAATATTCCCTGCAGTAAATAGTCCAAAAAAGGCACCCATTCTTCCATAAAACACACATTAGATTCTCTAAATTTTGCTGTTCGTTTTGC